GTGTGTGTGTGTGTGTGTGTGTGTGTGTGTGTGTGTGTGTGTGTCAGTAAAAGAGCGTTAATGAGATTCTTTATGAGTGTATGCATGTCTGCATATATCAGATTGGATCAGATCTTGGGTTGCACACATCTCTCTCTCTCTCTCTCTCCCTCCCTCTCTCTTTCTGCATACTTTAGAGCATCTGAGCGACTCCCACTCGATGCACGCTGAAGGAGGAGGGTGTATCCAGCCCCAGCCGCTCTGATGTTAGGAAACAGTAACTCCTCCGTCCCACTCAGTCTGCTCTCTCCACTCTGCCTCTGCTCTCCTGTTTCAGCCAGTCTGTCTGCCCTCCAGCGTAGTACTCTCCTTTCACTCACCGCTATTCATCACCATCTAGGATACATATACGCAAACCCACGCAGGTAGACGAGAGCACCGTCATAGTGTGCTGAAGAGTTTCCCTCAGCATAGAGATATAAATGCATGTTACCTTGGAACACACATAGAAAGTGTGGCTGGAGTTTCTTCCCCACTACGTTTTTTATCCCAAAGGACACCGCACACAGCTGCACAGGTAAGGACAAACACTGATATTTCCTGAACCCTTTTCTTTTTATTCTACTCTTTCTTTCTCAGCTTTTTATTCTATTCATCTCACCTATGCCTCCTTTGCAATCGTCTCCTCCTCTTCTCTCTCTTTTCTGTCAGATTTAACATGCTCATTCATCCTGTTTGCCTTCTCCTCTTTTTTCACATCTTCCTTGCTTCTATCTGCTGCCCCACGTGTAATTTATGTCTCTGCCATCTTGGCACAGACAGTTTTTTATCACATCGAATCTACATTTTGGAGTTTTTACACATTCCAGACACACTGAGAAAAGAGAGATGCAGCGTTTATCATCTTCATCCCTCTGTGTGTCCGTGTTTATCTGATTTATGCACTGAGCTTTGGGATCCTCAGCATCTGTGTGTTGATCAGATACTGCAAGCCAGGCATGCATGTACATATCTGTGCATGTATGTACAATCATGCTGACAGAGAAACACGCCCCCCTCCTCTCTCTCTCTGTAATGTCTCTCTATACCGGTTGATCCCTTCTCTGGAGCGGTTCATTAGCAGCGCCAGGTTTCAGTAAAATTCCCTGCCGGCCTGACTAATGTTTTTCAGCTGGAGCCTGATGTGCACATATGCACACGGTTACGACTCACACATACTGTAGGAAGCATGTTAACCATCAGGCAGAGGAGAAGAAACGAGGGCTGTTTGTTGCTGTTTTGAGTGATTCTCTCTGCATCCATTTACTGAGCATCCCTGCTCTGCTTCTCCACCTTTCTCTCTTGTGCAAAACCTGCCTGCCTCTCTCTCTCTGCTTGCTCAGCGTCTGCATGTATTCTCAGTGAGTCTCGGTCACTGCTTTGCCTGCCACAGAGCATCGGCCATGGTTGGTTGGCTGACCGCAGCTACACAGCATTAACAATGCAAAGCATTCCTGTTACATGGGGCTTGTTTACAGGGTGCCACATTGTGTGTGTGTGTGTGTGTGTGTTTGTGTGAATGTGTTTTTATTTGTGTTGCCTCTTGTGAAGTGATGAATATAGATGAATTGTGGGTAATTTAAAGGTCCAGTGTGTAAGATTCAGGTGAAAGGGATCTATTTGCAGAAATTGATTGAATAATCCTAGTGATGTTTTCACCAGTGTGTTTCATCTAAATTGTTCGAATTGCTGTTTTCTTTCTTTTTTCGAGGATGGCGCCTTAATATTCAAATACTTTATATTAAGATCAGGAGGGGGTTCTCTCTACAGAGGCCACTATGTTTTTGAAAGTAGCTCAAACTGGACAAACTAAACCTTTTGAGTTTTTATGAGAACCGAAGGCTACCAGGTTCTCTAACATAGGGTGAGGTGAGGGGTATTCAGCGGCAACATGCAACTTCACCACTAGGTGTACCTAAATTCTGCACACTGAACCTTTAAGTTTGGAATTCAAAGCAAAGTCTGAATAGGGATAGCTGTGCAAACCTGTGTTTGTGTGTGTATGTGTGTTTGTGTGGCGTATGCTACCTTCACTGGCATTAAGATTTCTCCATCTGTGCTCAGGTTTAAGGGCACACTGTTATTCACAGCATAAACACACACACACATGCACACAGTCCCCCAAGACAAGGCTGACCTGCATTAGCGTGTGCCGTCCCACGCTGTGTCTGCGTGTGTTGATATTTGTATGTCAGTGTGTGTCAGTGTGATTTCCTCTGAGGTGCAGAGAGGTGAGTCACACCAGCGTTTGAGCTGGTGGCTGTAAGAGGCGTTCATGTGACGATATCTGTGAAGTGTGATTTGCAAATTGACACTGTGATGAAATCATCTTCCTGTGAAATATCAACTTTTCAGCAATTCAAGCAAAACTGTTTTTTTAGCTTGATAGCCATGAATTTTTAAGTTTATCTAATGCGATCTTAGAAGGTTTTGTAATCCCAAGTCTCATGGAATTTGCTGAGCACTCAGAGGAGCTCGTAATCATTTAAATCAAGTTAAAATATTAATATCAGCAAAAGCAAGAGTCGCACGAGTTGTGATGCTTTGGCAGCTTTAAAATTATGAATTTGTTTCGAACTAAGTCACAGATTTCTGCGACAAGGATTCTGGTGTGTTTCCAACAGAAGTGGTTGCTGTGTATGTTGGGTTAATGTTTCTTTGACCTGCAGCTGTGATGTTGCTGAACCAAAGCAGCTAACGTCAGAATGTATGACGCAGTTGTTTTCAGCAGCACTTTTGTGAAAAATTGAATTGGTTTCCAGGTCTGAAAAGTTAAGACGATGCAGGAAGTGTCTGAAAGCTTAATTCTCTCAAATGACCAGTTTTAAAAGTCTACGTAATCCGCAAACATCAACGTGCTAACATGCTAACCTCAGCTGGTGGACATGCTAAAATTAATACTTGCTAAACATCAGTGTGCTCGGATCGACATAAAGAGCAGCTCAAAGAAAACCGTTTAAATTACCCACAGGAGGAAAAGCAACCCATGGGACCTTAGGTAGAACTGCACAGGGACAGTTTAGCCGCTTAATATGATGGAAAAGTGTATTCAAGCACAGGAACACACACACACAGACACACACACACACAAACACACACATCTATACTTGTACTTCTATCATAGTGAGGACCCTCAAAATATCCTCACCCTGTAGGGCCTATGCTTAAAATGGTCCTCACTAAGGTATAAGTACAAGTACACACAGCTCTTGTCGAGCGTCTGTGTGATGGTCATGTAAGCATTATATTCATTATTCTAAAGATGGCTGTCAGCAAAGAAATAACTCAGCACAAACCACACGGCACATGACACAATTCCTTCACACGCTAGTAGATGTGTGTGTAGCGTGTCTAGAGCAGTGTGCTGCAGGTTGCTTTCCCACTGAGTGAGAACTGAGCTGGGTTGTAATGTGTGTGTGTGTGTGAAGTTGACCGGTGCCAGTCTGCTCTCTGTCTCGACTGGCCGAGCGCCCGGTACTCCCATGTGGTTCATATTCTCCAGACTCTGACATCCACTGACTCCTCCTGAGGCTTCACTGAACCTGCAAATGCCTCTGATGGCCAGCACAGCATCTCTGTGAGTGTGTGTGTGTGCACTCAGTTTTCTTACCCAAATCAAATTATCCACCATAAAGCTAAAACAAAGATAGAAAAAGAAAGTGTGAGGTGTGTGTATGTGCTTTGTTTCGCTGTGCCTGAAAATGAGTAAAACAGGCTAGGTGGTATTTTGTATGGCTTTAACCCCTCTCATACACATCTCTCTATTTCTAGTAAAACTTCAAACAAGTGGCAGAGTTAAGGTTAAGGAGCTTTCAGGCTTCTTAGTGCTGTGGGAGGGAGAGAGACTCCCCAAACTCTGTTGTCCGTGTCAGTCAAAGAAGCCAAAAACCCTCACTGACAACACTCACAGATACATGAGTCTGCACTCACACACACTCACTCACACAGACACACACACACACCAGCTGAGCGAACGCCTAGGGATAGCACTACTAATCTCATTCTCTGTTGACACACTATTTCTCAGCTGTGCCATGCATTCACATCTCTCTCCCTCTCTTCCACCATCTCGGTGTATGTCTATCAGTGTGAGCAGAAGGGTGAGTTCGCATCGGGCCAGAGGTGTGTGTCTGTGTGTGGGTGTGTATGTTCTCTGTGCCTGTAGTACATCTGTTCTGCAAACCACAGCTTCCCACAGACTGAGCACCTTTAAGGAGTTCAGATGAAGTTGGTTTGTGGTCCTCAGAACTTTTTTTGTTGAGTTGGGTAGGGTCAGGGGCGTCACAACAGGGTGGGCAACACATGCTATTGCCTGGAGCCCCCGAGCTGAGAGGGGCCCCCCTGAGATGAGCTCTGGTCCATTCTGAGGACAGGGCCAAGCCATCTGATCTCTTAGGCTCTTAGTCTGCTTGTAAGGTTCATTATTAAAGATCTTTTTAGACCAGAGGTGGCATATTTTCCTCAGGCATCCATTGTGGAAGGTCTCGACCTTGTTCACCTTTTACTATGTGCCAGTATTCTGAGCATTAACAATGAGAACAGATTTGACATTGCTGTTGTAGAGTCATGTCACTGAGGACTGAGGAACCATGCCACTTGCCTTTTGTTAAAAGCTTCTTCATTTTAGAGGTTTGGTTGAAGTCTAGAACATCTGAATGTGACGGGGTTTTACTGCTTTACTATTATTTATGGACTTTGGGTCTAGTTTTGGTCGGTAAAAGTTGTTTGAAGACTGAAATGATGTAGTTTGATATCGAGGCGGGGTTTGGTTTCATTCTACGTAAGGCCCCTCCCTTTTGCCTGAGGTCCCTTGAGTCCCATGAACGCTCCTGGTCCTGGACGATTCACAAGTTTGTTGTGACTGACGTTGACCCAGCCCGTTATTTTGGCCATTATCCAGGGCAGCATTGAAGTCACTGCCAAGGTAGGCAGATTTCTTTCTTTGCCCTGAAAGCACATTTTGCGGTTAAAGGGATGTCAGCTGGCTCAGATCTGTACACAGCAACGTCCAACAGACTCTGAACCTGTTCAACTTTAACTTTGGTCCTGTTGGAAAAACTAAATTTGAATCATACAGCTTAGTGTCTTTCAAATGATGGGACGCACAACAAATCAGAGACCCCCACCTTATCCTGTCCACTGTTATTACCTCTGTCAAGGTTAAGATTGATTTTCTTCTCATTCTAGACAAAGTCAAATGTTGACAGTAATGGCGTATCTTGCATTGTTAAAGAGAGAAAATCCTGTATCCAACCCCTGATCTGGATGCACACCAAAATGAAACAGTTTCCTTCTTGGGTCATGTCCCAGACCTGCACAAAGTAGTTTTTGTATAATCCTGCTGAGAAACAAATAACATTTGTCAGAGGAAACAAAGAATAGAAGTACTAAAAATGTTCCTGCCTAATTTGTGAAAAATACAAGGTCACCAAAATAATTGCTGTGACTATATTGAATCAAACCACATCTGTGACTGTGGTCCCTGAACTGAACATACAAAACAGGTACGATGCTGGAGGTAGCGATGCAGTCATCACT